TCCTTCAACTCATATCGGTGGAGCCGTGAGTGCTGTCGCGACGAGAGCCAGTCGGACTTCGCGCTCGTTCCGGCCATAAGGAACTTGACGATAGGCGCGACAGCCTCATTGTCCCGATACGCCATGCGTATCCGATCATATAGATCCGTTGTCACCCGCGTGATGTGGGCCTACTCGTAGTCTGGACACCGAGAGAGGGCGTCCGCAAGCACGTTAAGCTTGCCTGGCTTGTATTCGACGCGGAAGTTGTATTCCGCGAAGAAGGACAGCCACCTCGCCATCCTTTGGGAGAGGTGAGGCGAGTTAGTCGCCGTCCTCAAGGACGCTTGGTCTGTGTAGATCACAAAGGGCCTAGAGCCCAGAAGGTGAACACGAAACTTCACAAGGGCATATTTCATTGCCAGGAGCTCCTTGTCGTGAACAGGGTAGTTCCGCTCGGCGGCTTTGAGCTGCCTGGACTGGAACGAGATGACTCGTTCGTGTCCAGCCGTGTCGGCCTGCAGCAATGCACATCCGATGGCGTAATCGGAGGCATCGCAGACGACGCTAAACGGCTTCGTCTCGTCCGGCAGGGCCAGGACAGGGGCCTCTTGGAGACTGGCTTTGATGCTGTCAAAAGCATCCTGGTGCTCTTGTTCCCAGCGCCAGTCGACGTCCTTCTAAAGGAGGCTCGACAAGGGCTTAGCGAAGCCCGCGTACCCTGCGCTGTACTTGTGAAGGTAGTTGGCCAAGCCCAACCACTTTCGAAGATCCTTCTGGGATCGGGGCGTCGGCCATGCTGCTATGGCCTTGACCTTGTCTGGGCCAGCCCGAACGCCCACGTTGCTTACGAAGCAACCGAGAGCTTTAATCTCTGGTGACGCGAATACGCACTTGTTGATGTTGGCGTAGAGCTTGTTCGCTCGCATTACGTCCAACACTCGACGGAGGTGTCCTAGATGCACCTCCATGGCCGTCTTGCCTCCCTCGGCACGGCTATGGACGAATATGTCGTCGAAGTACGTCTGTACAAAGGTACGCAAAGGGCGGAACAATTGCGTCATTAGGCGATTGAACGTCGCCGGGGCGTTAGACAAGCCCTGCGGCATGACGAGCCACTCCCAAAGCATGCCGCTTGAAGTGCTTACCGCGGTGAGCGGGATGTCGCTCTCTCTCATCAGGATTTGGTAGTATCCGTCTACCAAATCCAGCGCACGGTACAGTACGCTCCCGGCCATGTTGTTCAACAACACATCCTTTCGTGGGATTGGTGTTTGGGCCGGCACCGTTGCGTTGTTCAGCTTGTTATAAGCGTGAACCAGACGCCACTTTCCGTTCGACTTACGAACGCAGAAATTCGGCGTCGAGTGCGGGGATTTCGACTCCCGCACCATGCCTGCCTTCGCTTTCGCGGCGAAGAAGGCATCAATGACCTCGCACTGCTCGCGCGGGAGAGGCCATTGCCTCGTGACACAATACTTTGTGCCGGGCACGAGATCAATCTCGTGCCGTACGCCTCGATCCGGTGGGAGTTGGGTCGGTGGGTGTTTGTTCACCACGTCCGCATACTCCGTCACCAAAGGATACACCGGATCCTTGGGGTTCTTGAGAATCTCAGAACCCAAGCGCGCCTGACACTGCTTGTTCATGTCTTCCAGGACGTTGTCGTCCAAGACAGAGGAGGAGTTCAGCTCCTCCTGAGTGGTCTCAGGTCTCATGAGTACCATCTCAGCAATCTCTACAGCCTTGAGGTTGGTCAGGAAAGACTCAGCCGTCATTTCCTCGAGGTGCAGTATCTCTGCAACCTCTGGCAACGGTTCCAAGTGGACACCAGATGCCTTGACGGGTAAACCGGTCTCGCCATCGAAGATGTGATAACACTCTTCCACCGGCCTTGTCGGAGGAGCCCGGGCCCTGGACTTCGAATCGCTTGAAGCGACGTCGATCGGAACGAAGTTCGGATCCGACTTGAGGCGGCGGCGGCGTCGTTGACGACGGCGGCTGTGACGGGGAGCTTTGCTGCCCACGTCTAGGGATGTCGTCGCTACGACATCCGAGGCACTCGTGGCCTCGTGTGGCACTATGGTACCCACACAGGAAGCGTGTTCAACGCCTTCCTCTTGAGTTAAGGTCTGGGCGACCGTGACTGGAACTCTGTTACCCACTCTGAGCACGCTGTCTTCAGTGTTCGTGACAGCTGCAGCTGTCTGCGGAACTAGAGTTACCCGCCTGTGGACCTAAGTTACCCCACTTGGCCAGCGCCTCTTCTGGGCGCTGCCACCGTCAAAACATCCTCGGAGTCGTCATATACGTCGAAGACTCCCAAGCATCTGCCGAATGCTTTGGTACCCTGACAGCCCTTGCGGGCGCCCCGGGTCCTGACAGAGGTGGGAACATGACTCACCAATGCTCTGTCGGACTGCGCAGGGCGGCTGGCACCGATTGCCTTGCCTCGCCAGTCGATCCAGGGCTCGTGCTTCTCAAGCCAGGGCATGCCCAGGATCATATCATAAGGATCCATATCGAGAACAGTGAACTGTTCGAGGCTGTCAGATTGACGGCCAGATCCACTTGGACGTTGGGGACAGTGACGACCTTCCCGTCGGCCAGTCGCACTGACACCGTCCCGTTGTCCTTGCTTTCTCTCAAAGCATCGGACAACTTGTTGCTGTTGTGAGCAGCCGTCTGGCGGCGTGCGAAATTCTTCGACGCCCCAGAATCGATCAAGATTCTAAAGGGATGATCGCATCCCCGTACACATCCGTGTACTACGAGCAACCCGCCGCTTCTCTTCGCCGATTCGAGAGTGCGAAGACTCTCAGGGGCTAAGTCCCCGTGGTACGCGCCACCCGCGCACCCATCACGAAGACTTAGTTCTTCCCCAGTAGGGCGCCCCGCCCCTACTGGTTCCCAGCGTCCCCTGTCCCCGGGATCCTGGCTTCTACCAGCGACCCTTGAGGACGGGCTTGGGGAAGGATCGTCTGCGGAGTCACCCATCCAGAAACTCGCATAGGAGTCGAGCTTGACTGTTGTACCCTTAGTCTTTCCGCAGGACAGTTGCGCTTGAAGTGGCCCATCTTCCCCCATCCGAAGCAGCGGATGTCACGCCGTTCGGCGGACCCGAGTTCCATTGGAACTGGTCCATTAGGGCTCGTTCGACCAGGAGTCGACATGGAACTCCCAGGCCATGCTGAGGCCGGCGTACGCGCCTGGCAATGGCTGTACTCTTCCTGAAGAGCCACTTATATCGCCTCTTCAAGGGTGTTCGACTGCACCCCCGAAATAGCCTGAGTCCTGCGTGGCTCACTCGAAGGCCCGTCTATGTACACAAGTCATTCTTGACGTGTTCGTTGAGTGGGGTTCCCACTTAGGGGACGCCGTGATCTCTAGTATCTCTTGCACGTAACTCGTGCGGCTCACGCCTCCCTTGTTTGCACGAGATAAAACGCGAACGCTGGCGGTACTCGTAGTTCGCTGGGAGGAACGCGGCTCGGAGCTGCTCACACAGCTGAGCCCAGGATGTGAAACATCCTGGGGATGTTGCCTCCCGTGTGTACACCCAACTCTTAGCACGACCGCTAAGGTTGGAAAGTGCAAAAGCAACACGCAGTTGCTCGGTCGAGATCAGAGCCGCGTCCATCGCGAGCTCTACTTCTCGGACCCAGAAGTGAAGGCTCTCGTCTTCCTTCCCTTCATACGGCTTAACCTTCAGCCGTATTGGCTTCGGGTGAGGCGGATTTGCTTCCGCCGCCGAAGCCTGCAGGTTCTTCCGCACATGCGCGATGAGGCCCTGCTCGTACGCGTCGAATGCATTGACGCGCTCAAGCTGCTCAGCCGGTGATGACACCACCAGGCTCTGCAGGGCCTCCATCTCGAAGATGCCCGCCATCTTCCGAACCGACTCGAACTGAGAGTCGTTCATATGGGAGAAGTCGTTCCTATTCATGGCAACGAACTTCGGAGAGGTTCAGGCAGTCTACCCGCGGTGGCGTGGATTGACTACGAGTGCTACCAAGTTTGACGGGGTCACACAGCACCTTGCGCTAGAGTAGTTATCTTCCGAGAGTATACAAACTCTCAGTGAACGGCAGCTCACAGGTCCCCTCTTTATTTAAAGAGAGCGAAGTGACCTAAATACGGTAGATTGTAAACTGAGTATATTTATAGGTAGGTTAAGTTTGGGTTTAATACAAACTAAAGTTACCTATAGAAATGCAATGTCGTTTGACCAATGGATGGCTTTGAACGACCTTGGTACCCTGTACCAAATATCCCGGAGTATGACGTGTCATACACCTGAAGTGTGAAGTGTCTCACTTCATGTAGCCAGGGTACACTTAGGGCTACGTACCCCGCTACATAAAGCCAACCTTTTGGTGCGACTTCCAGATCTTCTTGACGCTGTTGCGACACATATCAAAAGCCTCCATAGCTGCACAAACTGCTCCACGGAGCAGTTTACCGTGGACGCTTCGTTCAGCAAGGAAAACAACCGCATTGAGGCGAGTTTCAGACGCAATGTCTTGTTTCCCGGGAGCTCTGGACATCGTGTTAAAACCCAAAATGCGGGGTTGACATTACTCTAGACCAACCATAATTTTAGTTGCCCGCAGCCATGCAAAACCGAAGTCCATTTTTATCCAATAGAAATAGATTATTCAGTTATGTGCGATCAATAAAAAACCCAATCATCATTTAGAAACGGGCCGGAGAAGTTCACCATTTCCAAATCAACGTAGCAAGTATTTTGTAAATTATGCCAGTTACTGCTTAGAGTGTAGTAGAGCGAGTGATACTACAAAATGCATTCAAACTACTACTTATTCTATAGTACTACGTGGTAGTACTACAGTAGTAGTACTCCTTCGTAGTATTATGTTTCAAAAGCTCGATACGATTGTCTTATTATATCTACTACTGACATCATAATAAAGTAATAAAACGGAGAAAATGGCTTTGCGTCATTTTTATTTTATTTTCTGTAGTAGTCTAACAAAACGGAGGCATCGTAGGCGGGCTGTTTACAGGTAGTTATGGTCGTGGGCCTCCTTTGCTTCAGCAGCCGCACTAGCAGCTAATTGCTCAGGTGTGGCGATTTCCACGACGATATCTTTTACACGCGGCACCTGATGCTTAATGGCATTCTTCACCTTCTGCTTCCACTCGACAGCGTGGTGCACACCAGATGCGTCGTCGACCACTAAAGTGAGATCCACGTGGATATATCGCCCCACCTTGCGACAGCGCAATTGACGAACTTGCAGCACTCCACCGTTACTCGTGCCGACCACACTGTCCGCAGCTTTCTCCAGACTTTTGATGGTCGTATCGGGCAACTTGGTGTCGCACAGCTCCTTAACGGAGTCCCAGCCGATCTCTGCGCCCATTTTCAAGATGATTCCACCCACCGCAATACCCGCGAGTGGGTCAAATAACGGAAAACCCGCGAGACTCAGTCCAATGCCACCCATGGCCACAACACTCGTCACGGCGTCACTTCGATGATGCCAGGCGTTAGCAATCAGCACACTGGAGTGCACACGTCGTCCGATGTTCATTGTAGTACGAAACAACGCCTCCTTCGCAGCTACCGACAACGCTGCGATGCCCAATGCAGCGGGGTGCATGACCATGCCATGTCCATGACCGTGTGTCGCCTTAGCTAGCGTTTCCACAGCTTCAAGGGCTTGAGGATCCAAATGTTCCACCAACTCGACCACTTCCTTCGGGTCCAACGCTGAGACGACAGTCGCAGGCTCCATCAGCACTAGCAAAGTGTCCAACGAGTGTACCATGATGCCCAGCGATCCTCCAACTAGCAATAGTGACACCGACAGTGCCCCCATCGTCTCATACTTGCCATACCCGTACGGCTGCGATGTGTCCGCCGGTCTGGCGCAATATTTTAGCGCTACGAGCGTCACAAAGTCGCTCACAAGGTCACTTATCGAGTGTGCAGCGTCAGCTAAGAGCCCCGACGAGTGGAACGCCACCCCAGCGACTCCTTTCAGCCCACTGAGCACCACATTGAGCCATACACCGACCCACGTGATGCGATCCGCAGCCTTCACGTCCTCCGCTGACAGTTTCAGCTTCAGCGCTCGCTCTTCTTCCGTCTCTTCCTCTTCCTCGAAAACTCCGTGGCTGTGGCCGTGACCGTGCCATCGTTGCGTCATGCTGTATAGCTGGAGCTCTGGTAGCAGCGAGGATGAGGACCTAGCAATGGGGCGACGCACGGAATGCAGCTCTCGTCTTGCCAGCGGCTGCAATACACAGCGTCGGACATCACAAGAGCCTCCTTGAGCCGCATATAGCGGCGTTAACGCCCGCCGTCGAGTTGACCAGGAGCTGATAGAATACCAGGTAGAACGTTAGTTTGAGCTAGTCGCACATCCGAACTTAATAGAAACGCGAAGGTCTTCCGTCGTACCGGAGCAGCAGATGCGCACTCATGAGGGAGTTTCTCTGTGTGTGTGTGAAGTCAGCGACTGAGGTGGCGACGCGTGCTGCGACTCGCGTGGAAGGTCTCGGACTGCGTCTGGGGCCTCGAAGGCACGCGCCTACTTGACCTACGTAACGGGATAAGAGAAGCTCGGTACATAGATCTGCGTAATCTGAAGCTACATCCACCGATTCATGTGTAGAACTGTAGTACATTCGGGGGCGATTGTACATGTACATTTCTGGGATGACATGCATATCCTGCGGGTAGTGTCACCAGTGTGCCCACAGATCTCCCGCACATCGACTCTAAAGAGATGGCGTGAGACTTGCTGCATTCACGGCGCCAAGGCAAAATGTCGACACTTCCATACACCCAATTACGTCACCGAATAGAGCGCGTTGTGTGGACTAATGCACTGCATTGCTTCCTATCAATGCTATCCTTCCTCTAAGACGATCTCTCGTCTACCTGTAGTGTTCCTTAATGACGCAAGTGCTTACCGGTGGGCCAGCTTGGTAGACAACGCGGACATGGCTTTGACCTTCCCATCCGGCACCATGAACATGACGATAGGCTTGTCATCCGAGATGTACGGTACGTCCACACGGAAGTAGCCACGACGCTCCAGCTGCACGACTTGTCCTTCCTTCATGTTGCGCAGTTCGTGGTCACCCACAGCGTGCATCTCAGCACGCGTAGTCTCCGTGAGGAAGTCCTGAAAGTCGTCACCCTCCTCGAGCTTGGGCTTGTTGAGTAAGTGGTCGAACTCCACCAACGTCAACGGCACGAGGTCAGCAACATCCGCCAGCCACGTGACCTTGAGCTTGGTCTTCTTGAAGTCTCCATTCGGGTGGTTCTCAGCCTCAACACTCGTGATCGAGCCGTCTGCATCCTTGTTCATCTTCTTGACGATGATGTTGCCATGACGCATGAGCGTCACTTCCTCGCCCTCCACAAAGTTGTTGACGTCGTCACGCTCCAGCAGCAGCTTGTTGCAGAAGCGCACCATCTTGTTGCCCATGGCCGGATCCTTCGGGTGACGAGCCACTGGGATTCCAATCACCTCGCCCGATACATTCGTCAGTGTGAGCGGCACGGACGACTCCTGGGCGATCGCGAAGTAACGAGGAGCAATCGGGTCCAACACGCGCTTGTTGATCGTCCAGAACTTGTCCCACTCCATGTCCGTGATACGACGCGAAGCGCCCTGACTCAAGATAAACTCTCGCAGAGCCTCGACCTGCACACCACGACGCAGCACACCTTGAACCGTGGGGAACCGCGGGTCTCTCCAGCTCTCCACGTGTCCATTGTCCACGAACCACTGCAGCTTTCGCTTCGAGAGCACCGAGTAAACAAAGTTCATCCGCGCGAAGCCCTGGATGATCACCTTCCGCAGACGCAGCGTGTCCAGCACCCACTGATACTGGAAGTCACGGTCATTGTACTCGGTCGTGCGCAGTGCGTGGGTCACGCCTTCAAGCGAGTCGACAATAGGACACGCCAGATCGTACGTCGGGTACGCCTGGTACTTGGAGCCTGTGCGGTGGTGCGGCGTCGGGTTCAGTCGGAAGAAAACCGGGTCACGCATCGTCTTATTCTTGGCCTGCATGTCGATCTTGCCGCGCATACAGTAGCCCTGAGCTTCGGGGGCGTTCTTCAGCATCTTCTCGAACAGAGCCAGGTTCTCGTCCACGGTTTGATCGCGACACTTGGAGTTGATTCCCTCCATACGCTCCTCACGCATACGCTCCTGCGACGTGTTGTCCATGTACGCGTGGCCCTCGCGGATCATCTGACGGGCATAGTCCGCGATCTTGTCGAAGTAGTCGGACGTGTAGGTCACGACGTCCGGGACGACCTCTACACGCTTTAAGTCGGCAATAATACTCTGCTCAAACTCGTCCTTCTCCTTGCTGGGGTTAGTGTCGTCGAAGCGGAGGATCAGCTTGCCGTGGTAGTGACGCGCGTAGTAATTGTTGAGCATGCAAGCCTTGATGTGGCCAATGTGCAAGTATCCAGAGGGTTCAGGAGGGAAACGCGTCACGACTTGGCCGTCCACTGCGTCCTTCAGAGGTGGACAGCTGCCTGAGTCTTTCTTCTTGGCAGCTCCAACGGGAGCAGGCGCCTTGATAGGCTTCAGAGCCTTCAGCGAGCCGTCAACCTTGGCGAACAGTGTCTGCTGCGCCTCCAGATACGCCAACCAGCGCGTCACATTCGGGAACGGCGACAAGTCCAGTTTCTTTTGCAGCGGAGCCACCAGCGACCACACGCCGATGTCCGCGAGCGACAGAGCGTGACCCACGATGAATGTCTGTGTCTTGAGCACGCGGTTAAGGATCTGGAGACCGCCGTCGTCCTCCAAGTTGGAGCCGAGACGAGTCAGCGCAAAGTCCAACCACGCGTCGATCTGCGAGGGTGGCAGAGCAGCTTCAGAGGCTGCGGCGTCCTTCGCGGCCACGCCGTACAGTCCCAGCTCGGGTTTGGTGCGAGCCAAGTAGCGCGCGACGGCAAAGTCGCCCGACACGATGCGGCTGTCAGCCAGCGTCAGTGTGGGGATCACAGACGAGGCGGCAGCGTCGCGGCCGAAGTTGCGGAAGCCTGACGCGTACTTGACGAGCTGTGCCACGACGTAACTGGCGCGCGGCAACTGGCCGGCGCTGGAGAAGACGATGACGCCGTCGTCCTCGGCCGAGGGGGTGGGTAGCTCAATGCCGGCGTGCACGGCCTTCTTCAGAGCCTTCTTACCGTCGGCAGTTGCGACTGGGGCAGCAGCAGCAGGGGCAGCGTGGGCCGCCGCAACGGCAGGAGATTTGTCGACCTCGCCGGCCTTAAGCGCATGCTTGTGCGCTTTCTTGCGCTCCTTGTTGAGCTCCTTCTTGGAATTTTTAGCGGGATCCTTGGACTTCTGCTGCTCCGGCTGCGGCTTCTTCTCCTTCTTGGCCTTGGGCGGCGGGCCGAAGTCCTTGCCCGTTACCTCCTTAAACTGGGTCTTGAGCGCTAGCAGCAGCGTCACGGCCTCCTTGATATCGTCGGCCTTGCTGGCGTCCTTTGCTGCCTTTAAGTCACGCACCTTGTCGCCAGCAGCTGCGATCTGCGCAGTCAATTCGGCCTCGGTTGCCATATTTGAGTGATATCAGTAGATGCTCTAGAGACGGCAGAACCACGAATGGAATCCGATCTTGATTCCAAGCCTTTCTATACGAAAAAAGCGCGCGGTATCTGGGAGCGTACCGGTTTTCCAGACAATCTTCATACGAGCCACATGAGTTTTCAGCTACCGTTTCAGAAACGGTATATCGGGTTTTGAGAAAAACACTTTTTTGACGGATTTTACTTTAATCCCAAACAAGATATTTTCTTAAATAAAGCTAATTTAGATAAACTAGTTATTTTAATATAAAACATGAAAACATCAATAACTTTTTTTCTTGCAACGATGTTATGTGCTGAGTTTTAAGTAGCGCGTTGCTGCGCCGTGATCTCATCAAACGTGCCACTGGCTCTGGTTTCACAAACATGCGGTCGGCTCACGCTGCGTGTGCGTTGCGCTTTGGATTGTTGTGATGTGTTCACCGCTCTTATCGACCCTTTTACAGATTTTCCACCAGCAGCTTGAATTGACCCGCTCTCCTCTGAGGCATCTCTAAAATCCTGCATGATCTGCCGTATGCTTGACGCAGTAAAAAGGAGACTGAGTGAATTAAGCGTTAGTGTTTAGCCTAGCTGTAGCAACTACATCTCCTAGCTCTTCTAGAACATCAAATCTTATGATCGGCGCTCTAGAACGCAGCGAGCATTCTAGACGATGGCCGTTCGGGATACGGCATTCGCTTCCCCAACGGAACGATACGGGACGAGGCGGCGAATGTTGATAATTTCAACATACGCCGAGCGCTGGATCTGGACGGTGCCGTTGGTATTGACTTGTAGGATCTTGAACGGGCCTTCTGCCGGCTGGTCCAGCTTGCTGATGCGATTCTTGTCCTTGGTAATGAGCACCAGATCTCCGACGCGGTACGTGTGTTGAAGGCGGCTACTGTTTTTACGCTCGTTGTCACGGAGAACCTGACGTAGTTTGCGGTCTGTGATGCGCTTCCAGTTTGTCATGAAGGCCGTGTTCATCACCATATCGCGGCCGAAGACGAGCTGTGCAGGCGTTGTCTCCTTGGTCGTGGACACCGTCGCGCGAATGGCAAAGGCGACGCTAGGTAGCACTTGTTCCCATGCGTTGGCGTCCAAGTCCGAGGTGCGAACCATGTCACCGAGGACTTGGTGAATGCGCTCTAGCACAGAATTGGCCTGAGGGTTCTTGACAGTAGTCGGACGAGGTTTTACTCCATAGCTCTCCAGCATCTCTTGGAATTCAGCGTCCGTAAACTCGTTGCCTTGGTCGAAGATGCAGCATTCTGGACGAGGGTATCTACAGAACCACTCGTTGTCGAGAATGTGCGCGGCGGTCTTGGCCTCCTTATCCGTGATGGCGTGCACTTCGAACCAGCCTGTAGCAGGATCAATCATGGTCATTGCACTGTACTTGTTGCCGGTTGCGGCGTGTGTATAGGGCCCGATGAGGTCGACACATACTACCTTCCACGGTTCCACAACAGGTTCTGCCACAGGTAACTTGCCGTATTTCTTCTTGTTGCGCTTCCACTTCTGGCATATTTCACAGCGACTCACGAACTCTTCTATGCAGCGTTTCATGTTCATCCAGGTGAAATGCTGGCG